TACGGGAGTCTGTACTTCTTCGGTTAAAGGCTGTCCTGAAGCCGGACCACGTCCCTGTCCGTGTGGAGTTTGCACTGCCAATTTGGTCCCCTAGAATTTTCAGTAGGTTTGAGCTTTATGGAAAAAGCGGGTGTGTGTAGCCCAAGAAAGCTTTTTCCATGCTTCACCCATTGCGGGCACTAGAGCTCTCAACATGCTTTCACTTCTGATTCCCTCCTGTGCAATCGATTGCTAATTCAAGCCTCAAGGGTGTTGTCCGGCCTAGTCATTGTTGCATTCCATGAGTTAAATTGAATCCATAGATTATACAAATTTATGAGCTAACATGACATTCATTCCTTAATTTTGCAGCAAAATGATTTTTGTGGGCATCTGTGTCTGGCATAGGAGGAAAGGAGGTTAGGGAGTAGAAACAGAGGAACAGGGAATTCTATTTGTGAGTTATGAAAGGCTTTTGTGGTTAATTGTGTAGGGCATGCCCTGGTGACTACTGAGAGTTTCTATGTCAGGGACTTTGAACTGTTAAAAACAGAGGTCATTGGATTTCAGTGGCTTTAACCTGTTAAAAACAGAGGTCATTGGAAAAAGTGAGGAGAGTTTCTACTTAGTNTTAAAAACAGAGGTCATTGGAAAAAGTGAGGAGAGTTTCTACTTAGTTAACCCCCCCCCCCCCCCCCCCCCTCTTTGGCAAACGACCATCGAGACAATTCAAATGTATCCCATTGTAGTTCAACACTTGGAAGCCCTTTCGGCATGGCCGTTGTGTTTCCCAAAGGCGAAAGATGCGGTACAATTTTGGGGTGGACAAAACAATATTCGTCTAGGAGTTCAGAGAGCCGGCATTGTTCTTTATCCTCAGCTGAGCTGATGTGTTGTGAATTCCTGGCATGTGAAAAGCAAGGAGAACATAGCGGTATTGGACACACATTTTGTGACTGAGTCTCAGTGGCGGCTGTCGTTGCCTTTTGGCCTCCTAAAAGGTCGGGGGCCCACCCGAGGCCCCACTATTTTCCCACTCGGCAAAGGTACTAGTGGTTTAAGACTGCATGGAGATGAGATGAGGCAGAGGTGATAGTTAGTGTGCGAATGCATGCCCAGTCAACTTCGTCTCCCTCTGCCAAAGTAGGACCCTGCTTTGACCTCTTCGATAAGGAGAAAAAGTACGAACTGTGTCCTTGCAGCATGCCAGAGGTGTGTTTGGAGTTCAACATTGGAGGAGACACGCGGATAGTCTCCCATTGTGCCAGAGCGAGTGTTTGTGATTTCAAACCACCAGTACATCCGAGGCTAAATGTGCGAGCCAAATTTTGAATTTTCCTGAGCCTGACAGCCACGGTAATACAATATGGAAAATTGAGGCGGCACGGGTACCAGGGTCTGAGAAACCCCCTTGCTGGACCTCCTGCCAGGAGATGGAATGAAAAGGAGGCCATAGTTTTCACTCATGTGCCACCCCACCCAAACACTCTACAAAGTCAGCCCTTGTATCTGGCCTCGTTGGAGAGCCAGATACAACCGAAACAAAAGAGCTATAGGTTTGGCCTGCCGCTTGGCGGGCAGAATAACTGCTGGAGACATGTGCCATCGCTCTTCCCAGGAGCCCACTGTGAGAGGCGGGAGGAAAGAACTGCAAATGAAGTTTCCTACAAAGCTGTGGTCGTGATTGCAGTCAGATTCGTCCAGGTCTAGTGCTTCCGCGTCTGACAGCAATTGCAGCCAGACCTTGGCGAATCTGACTGCAATCGCGTCCACAACTGCAGGAACATCTTAGTGTGAGTACTTCTTCAGCTCGGTCCGCAATCAGGATTCTTCACTTTTTTTTTCCGCATAGAAGTGGGAGTTGAGGGTGTACTCATACGGGGAAGTTTCCTATGAAGCTCTGGACGTGATTGCAGTCAGATTCATCCTGGCCTGGCAGCACTTGCAATTGCAGTCCAGATGCAAGTACGCCCAGAAACTGGGCGAATCTGACCACAATCTCATCCAGAGCTGTATAACAAAAGTCATTTGCAGTTCTTTCCTCCCCCCTCTCATGGTGGGAGCCATGAGAGGCGGGATCCTGTCAACACTGAGGGGCCCTTATGACCCCAACGTCTATTCTGCCACAAGCGGTTATCGGGTGGCTGAAAATTCAGGAATGAAAATTCTGAAGTGAGAATTTTGGGCAGTCTGAAAATCCTGAATGCTTCTGAAGTGGTGAAAGGTCCGAAGACCCTGAAAACCACCTGTTTAGGCAGGCTGCATCTTGAAGTGGTGAAGGGTGTCCTGAAGTGGTTAAGTGAAAGTTTTGGACAGTCTGAAAATC